GCGGATTTGAATTTATGCGGTTTATCAAACCCTTTTTCGCTGTAGCGATTTTGCATTTTTGAGAGCTTTTATTACTTTTTTTTTTCAATGTGTTAGGGGCAATGCTTCTGATAAATGATTTGTCTTTGTATTCTTACATTCAAGTAATTACTAAGTAATTCGGCTAAGTAACTATGTTACATATGTATAAATGAGAATATAATATTTATAAAAATCATTATTTTGTCTTTCATTTCATAAATGAGTAGGACATTAGCATTTTCAAATGAATATTCCTGGTTAGTCCCCATACATATGTATGTATGTAGTATAATAAAAGTACTATTTGGGGCGTTAAACAATATTTGATAATGAAGGCTGGTCCACATAGAATTTTCGCGTTGGTTTGACAGAACGCACGTTAAAAGTATGCGTTCTACAATGAAGCTTGGCAGAGACTACTTTGGCCACTAAATAAATTAACATAACCAGAGATAAATTAATATTTTATATCAATAATTGCATGAAAAATTATATTTATTGCCCTCATTTGATTAAAAGGAAAAAAACATTTCATATAATTTTATTTATTTGCAACAGCTGGCGACCGACGCAGCGATCTTTCTGCTTTGTGTGTGTGTTTGTCTGCTCTTAGCGTTGCCTAATTTTGGCTATGTGGACGGCTGCTTTGAAATTCAACGCCAACGCAACGCCAAAGTTGTATGTGAACCAGCCTCTATTCTTTGTTTACGCAAATTTTCCCATGTCATATGTCCTTCAACAACAGGCCACAAATAAATTTTTCACCAAGGATTATATTTCATTCAACAGGTATACAGCATAACTGCTACAAGTAGCAAACTATTTGGGCTTACTTGCTTTTTTTTTCTGCGGCACAAACGATTATAATATCTTCGTTACTTACTTTTCTCTGTAAAGACAAAATACATGCATATGTACATACATACACACATACGGACATACATACATATATAACTATGCATGTTATGTATATACATATCTAACTATAAAACATATTACATTCCATAATCTATGCTTATGTATGTAACAAATTTTATTTGTTGTTTTAAATGCTGCCCTAATATAATATTCACATGTTTATATGCATATGCACATATGTACATACAATCATTAAGATACTTTCGTACATAATCTCTTGACATACATTCCTATATTTCTATGCACAAAAATGCATGTGTTTTATAGTACACTCGGAGCGCTCCCTCGTCGCTCACTCGTCTTACCTAGCAGAGCTAGTAAGCAGACAGCTACTCGCCTCGCACCGCGAGCGAGGCAACACACAACAGCCTCGCTCGTTTAATAGGAGCGCGAGCAAACACGAAGCGCACGCTCGTTTGCCGAGCAAGCCAAACTTCTCGTGCCTCGCCTCATTGCTGCTACGAGTACGAGCTGCGAGCGCCTCGTTTCCTGCGAGGCATTGAGTGGGAGTTTGCTCGCTCGCTCGCTCGAACTCCGAGTTTTTGCCTACCTTGGTCGCAACCTCTTTTCGAATATTGCGAGGATGAAGAGCCCGTATTTGAGCAGACGCAGCAGACAGGGCTAACTACAGTGGTTCACCAATCACCGTCAACCCGTAAAAGAGCCAATTGTGACCACTTCTAGAGCATTGAATCGGAAAGAAGATGAGGAGCGACTGGACACTCTATGTGGAGCCGTAAGCGACTGGCTAAAAAAATCAGAAGCTGCTCCACAACCAGTTAGCCGTAATTCCGATTTTTTAAATGTTCTGGACAGCTATCTTCTGAAATATGAAGAAGATGTTTAAGATAGAATGAAAATTGAAATACTGAATTTCGTTTTTAATGGCGGGCAATTTGTTGTCATGTAAAAACCTTATTTCACTTTTATTTCAATAAATTTATTTAATCATTTTAATTGAATTTGTTTTAATGGAATACAATTTGTTGTCTTTATTTAATTTTTTATTTCAATTATTTTTTTACATAAACTTAATAGAAAGTACAAAATGAATGTTATGAAATGAACTGATTTATAAATTCAAAATAATTTAGTGTTATACGTTTTGTATATACAGTGGTGGCAGAAATAATAGAAACTTTTTATTTTGACCAGTTTTGGCTATATTACTTTTGTTTATTTAATATTTAATATTTTTTATAAAAGCCTAGCGCATTATATAACACACACCATGTAAATCCACATTTCAAACCTTGTACAAAAATTATAAAAATTCAACAAATTTTACCAAAATTCTGAATAAAAAGTTTGAAATTTTTGGAGGATTTCGGTAAAATTTGTTAAATTTTTATAATTTTTGTACAACGTGTGAAATGTGGATTTATATGGTGTGTTATATAATGCGCTAGGCTTTTATAAAAAAATATTAAACTTTAAATAAACAAAAGTAATATAGTCAAAACTGGTCAAAATAAAAAGTTTCTATTATTTCTTCCACCACTGTATATATATATATATCTACAGTTGGATCTGAATACTCTTGCGAATTGGTGTTCGCTTAATTGTTTATATCTGAATTTAAATAAATGCAGTGTGGTTACTTTTTCGAGAACGAGGAATAATATCATCAATAATTATAAATTGGACGACTGCAACATTGCACGCAACTCCGAAATGAAAGATTTGGGCACTTTTTTCGACTCTAAACTAACATTTTTGAAGCACGTCGATTATATTGTGTCTAAATCCTTTTCGTTGATCGGTTTTATAAGAAGAAACACTCAAGAGTTCAGGGATCCATTTACTCTGAAGTCACTTTATATATCTTTAGTTAGGAGCCGCCTTGAGTACTGTTCAATAATTTGGAATCCTTATTATGAAGTTCACTCAAACAAAATAGAAAGAGTTCAGAAAGTTTTTTCAAAAATGGCTATGCGTAAGATGCCGTGGCATGGTTATGCTCCACCCTATATAAGCAGACGTAAACTGCTTGGGTTGCAGTCCCTGCAGGACAGAAGGGACTACTTCTCAATTATGTTCGTATACAATGTTCTGATATATTAATTGTGCCGAACTTGCCAATTTAATAAATTTATATGATCCTCCACGTAATCTGAGGCAGAATAGAATATTGGTAGGTACAATGCATTCCACCAATTACGCTACTAATAAACCGATTGCTAGGTGTATAAGGTTGTGTAACACTTACTCCAGCGTAATCAACTTTAATTTAAGTATTGATAGATTTAAAATGTATCTCTTCATAATCTTTAATTAAGAGATAATTGTTTAATAGTCTGTAAGATCCTACTTCTGTAGACTGAATTAATAAATAAATAAATATGTTTGTTCATGTATACATTTATTAAAATAAGTCCGCGTTCCCTTATCATTTTGTAAATATTCGCAAAGCTTTTTGTGTTAAATACTTTTTATTTTTAAATGGTTTATATTACAAAAAAAACATAAATCCAAGTTTCAAACTTTATATTATACTCAGAAAAGTTAAGAAATTTTCATTAAAATTTCAAACTTTATTCAAATTTCTACAAAAAAAAATGGTACACAGTCCTATAGTCCATTATTTTTTAGTATAATATAGTGCAAGTGTGAAACCATGAAGATATATATGTATCAAGGAAAAGTGTAGCACACTCAGCTAAAAAGATATTAAAAATCAACGGGATTTTTAGAAACTTCACACTTGTAATTTATTATATTAAAAATAATAGACTATAGGAGTGTGTACCAATTTTAATAAATAAAGTTTGAAATTTTAATGAACATTTTTTAACTTTTCTGAGTATAATATAAAGTTTGAAACTTGGATTTATGTGTTTTTTATAATATAAACCATTTTTAAATAAAAAATATTTATCCCGAAAGGTTTTGTGAATATTTAAAAAAGAACTTATTCTACCAGGAGTCTGTACATGATCTCTTGTAACGCAATGAAATGTAATGTTAGAAACTAAATAAGAAAATTTAATTTAAATAAATAGATATTGTACGTTTTGTAAATGTATGCAAATTTATACAAGTGCATACATTGCTGCGCAAAATTACTGACACAGAATTTTTCACAATGTATGCAAAATTGTTTACTCTTTATTTTTTAAAACTTTTTATAAAACTACTGTTCAGACTACAACAAAAAACCAAAAAAATAAAATCTCCAAACTTTGTACAAAGCTCAGGAAAATTTAATAAATTTGCATACATATTTGCAAATTTTAATCAGATTTTTTGCAAAAATTCTAAGTATGCAGTTTTATAGCTCATTCAATTTTATTTGCTAAGAAATTGCGTAGGTTTTTGCACTTTGTTATACCAAAATTGAATTGGCTATAAAACTGCATACTTAAAATTTTTTCAAAAAATCTGATTAAAAGTTGCAAATATGTATGCAAATTTATTAAATTTTCATGAGCTTTGTACAAAGTTTAGAGATTTTATTTTTTTGTTTTTTGTTGTAGTGTGAACAGTAGTTTTATAAAATATTAAAAAAAATAAAGAGTAAACAATTTTACATATATTGTGAAAAATTCTGTGTCAATAATTTTGAGCGGCGCTGTATATGTACATGAGCTTTTGTAATACAATGAAAGGTTATGTTATGAACTGAATAAGAAAGCACAAAACCAAATGTGAAGTTATGAACTGAATTAAAAAATAAAATTACTATACAAAATAAATTGTTATAAGTTTTGTTTAAATTCTTAAATGTACAGTGGCTGTACAGTCTACAGTGAGTGATGTCAATATGTGGTGCGGCTATAATTTTTATTTTCATATTATTTCACATTATTTATTATTATTATTTCATATTCTTTTCATATCAAAATTACAATATGCATATACAGTGTAGGTCATATCATTTTGGACCAAATTCTAAATGATATTGTTTGTTTGTGTTTACTACAGAAGCCATTTAAATAAAAATTGAAATCTTTGTACAAAATGTATAATTAAAAAAAATTAACAAGAAAATAGTCAAAATTTTGAAACTTGTTAATCAGAACTTTAAAAAATATTTATGCAATTTTGTTGCCTATTACATTCTAGTATAATAAAGTGCAAGTTTCAATTAGCTAAAGATTACCGTTGATTTTTTAGTTTTTTCATTTCGTTCATGGAGGAAATGCGCAACACTCGATAGTCTTTAGCCACTTCAAATTTGCACATTATTGTACTAAAATTGTATGGGCTATGAAACTGCATACCAGACATTTTTTATTAAAAAATTTAAACTTTTAATGAAAATTCGGTGAACTTTCGGTGATTTTGTATACTGTTTGAATCTTTGATTTGTATTGTTTTTGTCCTTGCATGCCATCATGTTTTGCGTCTCCGCTTGGCAAAATCATCTTGGCCCTCTTGAGGCTAAAAATATCATTATATGTTAACTATTTTCGCACATTAGATAAAAAATATAAATCACCTTTTTCTTTATTGTGCCATCCTTTGAATTGGATGGGATACAAGGTAACTCTTCAGATCAGCTGTTAACTTAAACGCATTTTGTAAAGCATTGTTCGAACCTATACGCCTAGCTCTTTGCAAGGGGATCGAAATATCACTCCGCCACAATCCTCTTCTGATAGAGTCGCCGTCCTCCTGGTCAACATATTCCGGCGGGGAATAGCTACCATCGTGCATCTTGAGAAAATTGTGTATTAGCACAGCAGCCTTTACAATTTTCTCGGCTGATGAAGGGCTCATTTGTAAGGGATTTAAAAGGATTCTCCATCGACAAGCCAAAATCCCAAATGCATTTTCTATAACACAGCGTGCTCGAGATAAACGTTTGTTAAAAATTTGCCTCTCCAGAGATAAGTTGGTTCCTAAAATGAGTAAATGCGTTTAATTAGAAAATACTAATTTTTAAATTGTTCATACAAACCTCATTAAAAATGGCTTTAACGGGAACGCATTATCTCCAACAAAATAATGGGGAAAAGTCATAGTCTGGTAGCACACCGTTTTCAGGAAGATCCAGTTTTCCACTACAGAGCTGTGTCCCAAAGCCAGAATTCCATAAAATGACACCATCACTTTGCGAGGCGTAAGCTCCAATATCAATGCAAGTGAAAGTATAATTTGCATCACACACCGCCAGCAGAAATGGAATGGATTATAAAAAGCGGAACCAGAGTTTGATGGGCAAAATATGTTTATGTGCTTGCCATCAATTGCACCAATACAATTGGGTAAATTCCACATGGAATTAAAATCGATTGCGATACGCTTCCATACGCTCATCCTTCTTAGGAATCGACAAATAAATTGGCCCAAGTACCTCCCAAAAAGCATCGCACGTTTCTGCCAATATTTCCCTCATTGTGGAAAGTCCATTTTAAAGGAAGAAGCATAAAACTGTTTACTTCCTCCGTGAGCCAAATAACTATAATTTACAATATTTAAATATACATACNACCATCGTGCATCTTGAGAAAATTGTGTATTAGCACAGCAGCCTTTACAATTTTCTCGGCTGATGAAGGGCTCATTTGTAAGGGATTTAAAAGGATTCTCCATCGACAAGCCAAAATCCCAAATGCATTTTCTATAACACAGCGTGCTCGAGATAAACGTTTGTTAAAAATTTGCCTCTCCAGAGATAAGTTGGTTCCTAAAATGAGTAAATGCGTTTAATTAGAAAATACTAATTTTTAAATTGTTCATACAAACCTCATTAAAAATGGCTTTAACGGGAACGCATTATCTCCAACAAAATAATGGGGAAAAGTCATAGTCTGGTAGCACACCGTTTTCAGGAAGATCCAGTTTTCCACTACAGAGCTGTGTCCCAAAGCCAGAATTCCATAAAATGACACCATCACTTTGCGAGGCGTAAGCTCCAATATCAATGCAAGTGAAAGTATAATTTGCATCACACACCGCCAGCAGAAATGGAATGGATTATAAAAAGCGGAACCAGAGTTTGATGGGCAAAATATGTTTATGTGCTTGCCATCAATTGCACCAATACAATTGGGTAAATTCCACATGGAATTAAAATCGATTGCGATACGCTTCCATACGCTCATCCTTCTTAGGAATCGACAAATAAATTGGCCCAAGTACCTCCCAAAAAGCATCGCACGTTTCTGCCAATATTTCCCTCATTGTGGAAAGTCCATTTTAAAGGAAGAAGCATAAAACTGTTTACTTCCTCCGTGAGCCAAATAACTATAATTTACAATATTTAAATATACATACTCATGATATATGAATAACTTACCAGAGGGTCAAGTAAAGTCGACATTCTGGAGAAATGGATGGCCTATTAGAATTGTTTCTAGTAATCTTTCCTTAATAAAATTATTAATAAATATTATTTTTCTTAAATTCCTCCCTAAATCCATAATTCGTGGCGAAAAATCCGTGAGTGTCCCGATTCTGTAGAGGAGGTCGCACCCACCATCTACGGCCTTCATAAAGCCTGTTGAAGCATTCTCTGGCTTCCAGCAACATGAGCAATATTAAAATAACTTCAATTATTTCCATTTTTTTTATCTTCTTCACAAATATTAGTACAACTAAAAATATAGATTTATTTTGCATTCAAAGAAAAATTTGCCGCCAGTACAAAACCGCTGACTTGTTTAAATGCGACAACGCTTTCATTGTGGCGTACCTATGCGTTTCCTACGCTTTTTCAGTTGAACGCTGGAGCCGGGACGTACGTAACGTACTCTCTCTGGCAGGACTATAAGGTTGCAAACAGAGTGGAAGCGAAGCCGAAGACGAAGATGAAGACGAAGCCGAAGACGAAAAACAGTGCGGTAGTAAACATATGAAAGTGATCACAGTGCAAGCAAAGACGGAGACGAAGATGAAGATGTTGCGCAAGCGGTCAGCTTGAAACAGTGCGGTACTGTTTACAAAGACGAATCGCTTGCTGTGATGAGTTGTTTACAATTTATTTAACTGTTTGCAATTGTGAAAAAACGCGTTTTTTAAGAAATTGGATAAATTTTTGGTAAAATGTAATCACACGTATTAATTGGCATTCTTGTATATTCGAAAAATTTCTGTCCGTCTTGCCGTAACACATAATACAAGTGGCGAAATTCTCCAAAAGTTGTCCTATGCAAATTATTTCATGAATTGCTGTTTTTTCTTTATTTTCTTTTAATTTTATCTAACAAAAAGGGTTTTATTTAGAAACAAATCTTCATATCATTCATCTTCCACTATGTACACTCGCCAGCTTGCCCGCAACGCAAGCAATTCGTCTTCGGCTTCGTCTTCATCTTCGTCTTCGGCTTCGCTTCCACTCTGTTTGCAACCT